CCTTATTATTATATTAGAATATCAAGAGTTACACAGCAGATATGCCAGAATTAAGAATCTCTAATAAAAGCAACTATGTAAATAACATATAAATAACAAATGCAAATTAAGTACTTCTAAATGACGCGAGAAGAAAAATAACGAGTAGAACGTACTCTATCGTAAAACACAAAATTGTTATAAAATATTTATGCAAATTTGCCGTACTTTTTATTGACCAATTTAATGAGCAGTATTGTGAATAAACGTAATCTTGGAACAATCCTCATATCTCTATGTTAAAATAAAATGTATTTACATCGGTATATGTATTTAACCCTTTCGTTTCAGCGTAAGTTTGCGTGAATGTGCTTTCCCTGTACAGGAAAGTCTGCCGCGAATGTCTATTTTTTGGACAATTACATACGAGGGGAAATCAATAAGTACTCGTGTTTCAAGACAGGCGGCATTGCTGATTCAAGTTGGCATTACCATCGTGTACTACCATCTTTCAAACGACGCCATACAAAATTTCAGAGTGATTCATGCAATAGTTTTGATTTGACAGCAATTCGTAGTGAGCGTGTATGTTTTCCCATACAATGGAAAAAGAGCAATATCGATTCGTGATTCGTTTCTTATTTTTGGATGGAAAAATGTGCGAAGAAATAAAAACGAAGTTGGATGCCGTCTATGGGAACTCTTCACTATCTATGACAACCGTCAGATATTGGCTCAACGAATTCAAACGTGGTCGTTCGTCTGTTTTTGATGAGGAGTGCCCAGGCCGCCCGGCAGACGTGGTTACTGAAGAAATCGTTGAAAAAGTCCACGACATGATTCTCGCCGAACGAAAGTGCATGAAGTAGCAGAGGCCGTAGGCGTGTCGTACGGAACGGTATTCAATATTTTGCATGATAACTTAATTGGGAATGAAAAAGCTGTCGGCCCGATGGGTGCCGCGATTGCTTACGGTGGACAACAAGCGGATGCGGTTATCAATTTCAAAATTGGTCGAATTGCGCTACGAATTGCTGCCGTATCCACCGTACTCTCCGGATTTAGCCTCCTGTGACTTCTTCTTATTTCCAAAAAATGGCTCGGTGGAAAGAAATTCACGTCGAATGAGGAGGTCATCGTCGAAACAGAGGCATATTTTGCAGAGTTCGACAAATCGTATTTTTCTGAGGGGTTAAAAAAATGGCAGAAGCGTTGGGAAAAGTGTATCCTCCTAATACGGGATTACGTTGAAAAATAAAAAAAACTTTTGTGAAAAGCTTGTGCCTTCAGTACTAACACGGGTACTTATTGATTTACCCTCGTATATGCAGTCTTATAAAATAAACTTCTCATTGTTAATAAAAATCAGATTTTAATTAAAAACAATTGCTCTTTTAACTACATTTTATTATTTTTGTGATACATTTATGTATATTATAAAAAAATTTCAGGAGACACGTAGTGGCTCGGCGCTAACGACACTATCATAGTTTCTTTACGCGAGATAATCTATTACGTGGACGCCAGCTAAGACCGAAAGGGTTAATTAGTGTTTCATAATAATAACAACCTGGAATAAATTTCCGAAAATGTTTTACACCCAACGACTGTCATGAATTTTGGCAGAAATACTCCAAATGACGTTAAATGAATGCTTTTGAATGGATTTTCACCGACAAGAAAGTTTAATGCCAAAAATGTTTCAATAAAGTTATAGAAGTTTGTGCTTATTATTTTCAGTATACTACATGTTTATAGCAATATATAGGAGTTGAATGAAGAGGATGCGTATATACAAGAAAAATATTTATTGTTAAACCCATATGCAACAGTACAATTATGAAAGTCGTGCGCCCCTTTGGCAGGAAGGGAAGTAGGGTGAAAGTCGCTTCATGTGGAAAGTCAAAACCCACGTGCAACAGTACAATTATGGAAGTCGTGCGCCCCTTAAGCAGAGGGAGAAAAGGGTGAGAGTCGTTTCATGTGGAAAGTCGAAACCCATTTGCAACAGTAGTACAATTATGGAAATCGTGCGCCTCTAAAGTAGGGGGAAAGGGGGGTGAGAGTAGCTTCGCATGGACGGTAATAGTATATTACGATACAAGTGCGCAAAGTAGGTGATTCCCGCACGAGCCGAGTTTGTCGCCCGAGCGAAGCGAGGGCGACAAAAGAGCGAGTGTGGGTACACCTACGCAGCGCACGAGTATCGTATACTATTTTTCCTAATTTCTACTTCTTCTGTAACTATAGTTATATTTGTATTTCCCACTGATTCATTATTTGTTTGGTTTTCTATGTTGTTTTCGACAGATAGCTCTGGAGTTTCAGGAATTATTGTTACTTGATCTTTGTGAGAGTGTGCACAATTTTTTTCTGGAGGATTTGGATACAATGTACCATCAAAATTGCGTATTGCTTCATTTTCTGTTATAGACCTTTTCAAGCGTTTTGGATTTTTGGATGTTGAAGGTATTGCATTTTCAATGCAATGACCAATTGCTTTTTTATTCATAATAGAATCTTCTATGTATCCTTCGGCGACTGCATTCGATTTCCACCCGCCGTGTCTTTTCAAAGTAGTTATATCTGCTCCTGCATCGACTAATATTGTAGCAGATGATCTTCGGAAAGTATGACCGGTGTAGGAGTCAGGATTTTCTAATTTAAGATATTTTGCAATTTCTTGAGATGCACTTCCTATCTTATTGATGCCAAGAGGCTGGAAAACACATCTGCCAGTTCTATATGTTAAAAAGAATCTGTTCGTTTTTGAATTATCTGGCCTTTTTTCTATGTATCTTTTAGCAACATTATAAAATTCACCTACTACCGTGAATGTCCTGACAATCTTAGTTTTTGTTACTGGCAACGTTATGAATAAAAAAGTACCGTGATCTTGCACATCTTCAATGCACATATTACTCAATTCTTCTCGTCGACAAGCACCGGACAGTCCTATAACTAGTATCGCCTATAAAAGGAATGATTATATGCTTTTCATGTTTTTAGACAAGACGTGCCGGTATACATAAATAAATATATATGTACTTGTATACATACTTTCGTTACAAGATATTCCGCGTCTGGTGCTTCCTTGAGAAATTTTGACACATCTGTTGTTGTAAATACGCTTGATTTTTTCGGTTTATAACCTACATTTTTTCTCTTTAGAAGTCCTATCAATTGCGGGTAAGTGCTGATATCAATATTATCATATGATTTTATCGTTGTTCTTAGCATTGAATATTTAGACCACAGTGATGGTGGAGCGTACTTTGTAGCTAATTCGTTAAAATATATTAAAAACACAGGTTCTGCGAATGATTTTGTATTCCTTGTACTGCGCCATTTTTTGAACTCATTATATACAGCTGTATACTTTTGCTTTGATATAATTGGTAACGAATTTAAGGCAATTTCCTTTGCTGCAACAAGCATTTCAGGAGGAACATTCTCGGACACATTTTCATTATTTGAATCGTTTTGTTCGGCCATCTTGCCTGTCACTAAAGTACAAGTACGTTGTCGCACCGTCCACGGCGCCACCGAACGCGCATGCTCGCGCCCCAAGTCGCAACAGATGATCCACAACCACTGTAATAGGCTACTTTGCGCACGGAAATGCGTGCGCAAAGTACGAACTTTGCGCACGCTAATAGGAAAAATACATTTTAAAGCAGAAAATTTTTGTTCTATATAGTAAAAAAAACATTATTTTTCAAACTTATCCTCTACATATTATGGAACTTTAATTTACTATATCTTCTAAATCGATGCTAAATATATGTCAAGATCGGAGTTGCTTCCATTATTGTCGATATTTACCATAATAAGCACAAACTTCCATAACTTCATTCAAACATTTTTTTACATTAAACTTTCTTGTCGGTGAACATCCAATCAAGAGCATTCATTTGACGCCATTTAGAGTATTTCTACCAAAATTCATAATAATCGGGCGTTGGACGTTTTCGGAAGTTCACCCCGTTAATATATATCAATATACTAATAATTCACATAAAATTTATTTTTTACCTTTTTTAGCTAGCATTATTTGAAAGTAATGTTGAGATTTTAGGGCCATTTATATATGTTTTAGTATGTATCATATATATGTATATA